TCTTGTCTGTGACACCTCTGACATATGGTAGTACAGCAGGCACACGCTCGACTGTGGCCGGCTTCACTCGATCACTGTGACGTAGGCGCGGGACCCGAAGCTTGTTGTCGTACAGAACTTGCTTGACATGCTGAAGCTCGGCGGCCAGGTGTTTGCTGTCACAGATCCCTCGTGCTCTCTGTAACAAAGATTTGCCCACGGTAGCTAACTGTGAAGGATGGTGGTGAGATTCACCGTTTAAATATCGGTTTGTATGGGTTTTTTTCCTATACATACTAATGCTAGTAAAAAGTTGTTAATAACGGTGATTCACCAAGAACGTACCGATCTATATTTCATAAACAAAACCATAGACAATTCGTCCAGTGAATTAAAGACAAAACTGTCTTTCGGCATTTGATTATAAAAATTGGATGGAAACTTTAGATAAACGCAAAACAACTAAATACAATGAATGCATAAATAAACATTATGATAAAGTAAAGTAAAGTAAAGTTATAGTCTATATACGTCCCACTGCTGGGCTCAGGCCTCCCCTCATTTCTGAGAGGGTTTAGGGCAAGGAAGTGTCCGCCGCGCTGCCCAAATGCGTGTTGACGAACTTCACATGTCTTCGAAATATTTTTTTTTTTATTCCTCAGACATGCAGGTTTCCTCACGATGTTTTCCTTCACCGCCGAGCACGTGGTAAATCAGCACTTAAAACTGAAATTAATTCATTGGTGCCGGCGGGGATCGAACCCGGGTTACTCTCGCGTTCGCGACTTAATTATTTGGAGCAGCAATCTCGATCCAATAATTTGGAGCATCAGTGTTTGCCTGAAAACAAACATGAAAACTTATACTCGACTGTCAAACAGCTGGGAATTGTAATTGGATGTGAGTTAAAAGATGAAGATATACCACACTGTACCCGGATAGCTAAAATGAGTTCTAACAACACTCGTCCTCGATCTATCGTAATCCAATTGGCTTCTCCTAAAATACATGATCAGATTTTGGCTGCAGTTATCAGCTTCAATAAATCAAATCCGCAAAACAAACTCAACAGCGTGCACTTAGGTCATACTGGTATCAAAAAACCAGTTTATGTCGTCGAGCATTTGTCTCCATCTAATAAAGCAGCATCTAATAAATGCAGCTGCTAGATTGAAATCAAAAGACAAAGGGTATAAATACGTTTGGGTAACAAAGGGTAAAATCGTCGTTAGAAAAGATGAAAATTCAGAATATATTTACGTAAGAAACTCGGACACTTTAAGTAAAATAGTATAACTTCACTTCCGTATATCTACACATCCTTACATACTTTGTGAAAGTAACAGAAATATCAGAATAAAATTCAAAAAATTAAAGATATATTACCAGAATAGTAGAGGTTTAAATAAACACAAGCATTTTATCGAAACGTTTACTGTAATGATTACGATATCATAATTTTGCCAGAAACGTGGCTGAATAGCGCAGTTCTGAATAGTGAACTGTTTGATAACAGATACGTGGTATACAGGAGGGATAGAGAAAGTTCCAATCTACAAAACCGTAAAAAAGGAGGAGGAGTGCTGATTGCTATAAAGAAGAATATTAAATCGAAACGCATACAGTGTTGGGAAAGTAGCTGTGAAGATTTATGGGTTATTATGGACTTTCCTTTGTCACATTCTATTCATCAAATTGCTTTTTGTATAGTTTATTTACCACCACCTATACGAGGTAATGTACTAGAGCATTATATAAATCATTGCAATAACGTTTTTGAACAGATTGTAAACTCACATGTTTGTATTGTGGGGGATTTCAACTTAAGTAATGTAGATTGGAGTCTTATAGGAAACCAAACCTATACTTCAACACCAAATCTTAGCCAAACATTGATAAATTATGCTAACGTTAATAACCTCGTTCAATACAATCGTGTGACTCATATAGCCGGTCGTATACTTGATCTTGTTTTAACAACGATCTCATCTTGTAGTGTAAGCAAAATTATTGATGCTTTAAAGAGACCAAATTTTTATAAACGAATTAATCCGTAAATTTTTACGAGAAATAAATTGCGTAGAGAAGTTTGATGGACTGTGTGATGTGGATGAGCTTCTAGAGATCTTTTACGAAATATTATACATAGCAGTACAAAATTTTGTACCTCATTATAAATCGAAAACTTACAAATTTCCATCTTGGTTTGATCATAAACTTATTAAATTATTGAATGAAAAAAAAAACAGGATACGGAAGCGATATAATAAATATAATAATCCGTTAGATAGAATCGAATTAAAACTTATAGGCAACCGTTGTGGAAACGTAGCAACTAATTGTTACAATCGCTATCTAAAAAAATGTGAAGATTACACTCTCGAAAAATCCCAAACTATATTGGTCTATGGTGAAAGACAAGAGGGGTGGGTCAAGTACATTTCCGACAACCATGAGCGATGGATCATCTTCCAGCTCAGATAGTTCAGTTATATGTGAAATGTTTGCTTCTTACTTTTCTTCCGTTTATAGCCTAGAGGATGATGATAGTTATGACGAATGCATGTCCGATTACTTACAATCACTAGTAAATAACAGCTTATGTCTTTCAAATCCAAAGATAGAACATGATACAATTTTAAAATACTCAAAGGACTAGATTGTAATAAAGGCGCAGGGCCAGACGAAATACCACCAATTTTTATAAAAGAATGTGCTTCAGAATTGATATATCCTTTAAAAGTAATTTACAACTTGTCTTTAGCATCTAGCATGTTTCATTCAAAATGGAAAACATCAAAAGTATTTCCCATACATAAGTCGTCAAATATCGATATCATTTCCAATTATAGACCCATTTCAATTTTGTCAACCTTTGCCAAGGTATTTGAGTCGTTGATTTGTCATCATCTTTTGGGACCAGTCTTATTTCTTTTTTCATAAATGATATTAAAAAAATGTTTTCTGTTTTCAAAATATTTTTTATATGCTGATGACTTAAAATTTATGAGAATAATTAAGATGATGATACAAATTATTACAAAGTGACATTGATAGACTAATCCAATGGTGCTGCAACAACAGAATGGACTTATATACAAGTAAATGTTATCATGTTAAATACTCCAGAAAACTTCATAAATTTAATTCATATAACTCGAAAAATGTGCATTACAAAACCAAAATATTTCTTTACAACAGTCTAGTTGGTAATATTTTAGAATATTGTAGTATGGTCTGGAGACCACACTATGCTACACATTTATTACGTATCGAACGTGTTCAAAAGCGGTTGCTTTTGCATCTAGCATTTTCTGTTGGTAAAGCAAAAAAGCTACGGTCCTATAATAGTAAATTGCATCATTTTAATTTAGAAACCTTAGAAAGTCGCAGAAAGTATAATGATGCAGTTTTTGTACATAAAATATTTAATTCTACATTTAATTTTCGTGTAAGTGTAAGTGTAAGTTTCGTGTACCTTCGAGATTACCTCGCAGCTCTATTGCACCACTTAGTCCACCATTAAGAAGAACTGTCTTGGGAAAGAATTCTCCTTATGCCAGGTTCTTCAAAGTTATTAATGGAGATAGCGATCAAATCGACATTCACTTTGACTCACCCAAAATATTCTCTAATTGTCGTAATGTATAAGTTAATAGCGTAAATTAAAATAGATTTCTTAGTTTTTTTTAAAGTTTTTTTAGTTTATGTAGCACTAATCTTACTAATAAATATGTATTTAATTTTAGTTGAGGAACAACTTATTGTTTTTTCAGTTTTTTTTTATAAAGTTATATGCATGCGGAGTTTACCTTTAAGTAATTGTAGCACTTGTGTTAATACTTTTAAGTAATTGTATTAATTTGATGTGTTAGTGTTATCAATTGTTTGTTGAACCTAATAAAGAGAAAAAAATCAAATGTGCAACATACGAAATCGTTGACCACAGACACGAATCATAAACAACGCGCTGTCTACAACTTATCAAAACAAACACTGGACGACGCCACAAGAAAAGTTTTAGAAAAAGGTATGAATTTCGCAATAACACCGCGAAAAGTATGAGGAAATTATCTGTAGTGTTGAGGACTGTCTGTATAAAAATAACATTGGTAATGAAGATTTAGCCCTTTAACTGGTAGAGGGAATGAGCCTAGATAATGAAATAAAACTTCACTACGTGGAATCATATATTTTTTAAACATTTTATTTTAATTATTATTTATTAAATATATAGAAAAAAATATGATTGCAACATATAAACCACCATCAGTCTAGCCTTACCAATTTATGTATCAGTTTGATGGTAATTTTTGAAGCAAGGCGCTGCACACAATGGCACTTGACACATATCACATTGTATCCTGGATCGTTGATTATTGTGTGCACTACTACACAAGCGACACCTTCTATAGGTGGGTAATTCTATAGGCCAATGAGCTCCCTGCTCAGAAAAACGAATTTCTCGAGGCACGCCAAATAGTTTCTTTTGCCTTGATTCACTTTCTTCGCATTGTACAGACTTACTTTTTTTGGACGCGAATTTTGGCATGGTGGCAAAGGGTCTTTTTCGGAATGTTGCGTTTGCTACTAATTCTCGAGACAATGTCAGCCTAAATTCCTTTTGAGACAATACCGTGTGGTTACGTCTGTTAGAAGCATACAATATATACGCGTTTGTTATTTCAGCATCAATAAGGAAATAGAAGATGCGTTTCCACCACTTCGAGCTTTTTCTTCCGACTGCGTACGGGGGTTCTCTTTTGGTCAAACCGCTCCACTCCTCCCATACGCTTTGTGTATTCTATAATTGTCAGCGGACAAGGGAATGATTTTTTAGATACATCAATTTTAGTTCTTTCACAAGATATTTTCTGCTTTGGATGAAATGCAGTGCTCAAAACGCTTACTAATTTGTTATCTTCCCAGATAATAAACCCAACATTATTTTTTATCCTCCATTTCCATTCTCCTCTTTTCAGCTTTTTGGTTTTTTGGTTTGCATTTTTTTACAGCCTTTGCTATCTTTTCATCAATTTCTTTATTACCATTCGCTTTAGGCTTTTTACAATTAGTGGCATATCTTGGAGGTCATTTCTGACTGTAGCAGTTGCATATATACCATTATTGTATAACGTTTGTAGTAAAGCTGGACTATAAAAAAAGTTATCAAATGCTACATGACCCATATAGGTTTCATTTATGAGTGACTGGCATAATGTCATGACAACATTACTGCCTAATCCTGTTTCAACGTTTTCGGTCTTTCCAGCATACACTTGAAACTGATACAAGTATCCTGAGTGGCTGACAGCTCTAGCCCAAACCTTGAAGCCACGTTTTATGGGCTTCGTGGGCATGTATTGCTTTAGAGTAGATCGCCCCTTGAACTTTATCATACACTCATCGATTGACTGAGAATGTGTGTTTTTGGCATTTGTCTGATATTTTACGTTGATGTAATCTAGCAGCGGCCTTATTTTATACAGTTTGTCGTAGTTATCATCGTTCCTGTTAGGCATATTGGCATTGTCATTGAGATGTAAATATTTCATAAGTTTTTGAAATCGCTTCAATGTCATTGTCTCAGCAATTTCAACAAAATGCAGTAATGGGACACTGGACCAATAATCTTCTATACAGGGTAATTTGTGAATGCCCATTTGAATTATCATGCCCAGTAAAGCTTTGATCTCTGTTGCTGACACCTGTTCACAATTTTGGTCATTGCATTGTGATGCGTAGAGGTTAGTTTGGGTTACAATCATATCGATAGCTTCAGAGTCAAAAAACATTTCAAAAAATACGAGTGGCCTTATCCTATTGGCTATGTTCCGAACTGGTTGTAATTGAATAGAATCAAAAAGAGAAACTACGGGATTCTGTGACCAGGCTACTTTTTCCGTTCGTCTTCATCTGCATCAGACCCGTCTGAGTCCTCAATTTCTGATGGATCAAAATTTTCTTCAAGTTCATGTTCTATAAGTGAAGGACTGTGTCGCGAACTCCTTGGTGGGGGTGGCTGCATAACATTTTCATTTGAGGGCCCTGGTTGAGGTGATATTGTTGGTCAAGGGCTTAGTTCTGGAAAGATCCTAATGTTGATTGGGTCATAGTTATTTGACGACAAAAAACCAGAAAAATCTTCTACATCGTTATCCTCCGCTTCATCTTCAAATCTCGCTCCATCACTGACACCAAATAATTCTTCTAACGCTCTTTCTACTTCATCATGTTTCAGATTCACCTCACGACGATCCATATTAAATACACAAAAGAAAATATAAATATGTAGGTACCTAATACAATACTAAACTGGTATTGGCCGACATGTTGCCGTCGTACCCTTAAGGCATACAGACAGTGGCATATATTTATAGATTTTCGAAAATTACGTAAACAATATTTATTGTTTTCCAAAAGTATTCAATGATTCGTCAAGAATAATAAAAAAATCATAAAATAAATGTAAGTACTTACAAAAAGGTAGTCCAGATTTCGAGATAAATCGAGATGTAACTGAAAACCACAAAATACGTACTTCGTCACGAAAGTCTTTCTCTGACAAGTGACAGATGTCAATGAGGTCGCATGTCATATTTTTTATTTATTTCGTGCTTCGTTCTCTGTTGCAAAAATCAAACAACCATAATCTGTTCGTCTGTACTGTCGAAAATGTGAAAATGAGAACATAATGGCATATATATTGCAATTGTCATACAAAGGGTTAGAGTCCATGCGTCAAGACGTTTCGTCTATGTTACGTAGAAGTTCAGCGCCGAAATTAAATCTTCCCAAAAATGAATTTAATGCGTTGAAAAACTTACGCAACAAACCAGAGCTTACGATTCTCCGCGCAGATAAAGGCAATGCTACGGTTTTAATGGATACGTCAGATTACAATTTTAAAATACAACAAATTTTGTCGAATGAAACTACATACCGAAAGGTCAAAACATACCCTACAACTAATGCGCTGAAAAACAACAAGCGACCTAAATAAGAAATACTCCGAGAAATTGTATGGGTTAACAAAAATACACAAACCAAACGCTCCATTACGTCCAATAGTGAGTCAGATTGATTCGCCAACTCACAGATTGGCTCAATACTTAGCTAAAATATTATCACCACTCAGAGGACACACAAGAGCACACACTAAGAATTCATACCATTTTGTCAGTGAGATAAAAGACTTACGCCTTACTGACAATGAAACCATGGTCAGTTTTGATGTTCAGTATCTATTTACATGCCTACCTGTTGAAGACTGAATCTCAATTATAACTAGGAAACTAGAGGAAAATAATATGCCAGCAGAATATTCAGTATTACTCAGACATTGCCTTACATCTGGCTATCTATTGTAGAAGGGAGAGTTTTACAAGCATGTAGACGGTGTTGCGATGGGCTCACCTGTATCTCCCATTGTAGCCGATATATTCATAGAAGATTTTGAGGAGAAAGCCCTCGTTACTGCACCTATTACACTAAGGATCTACAAGCGGTACGTAGACGATACTTTCACAATTTTACCATCAGACAAAGTAACTGCATTTTTAGAACATCTTAATTCCATAAACTTTAAAATTCAATTTACTATAGAGTTAGAGGCAAATAATTCCTTACCTTTCCTAGATGTGTTAGTCATCAGAAATCCTAACAACACCATTAGTCACACTTTGTATAGGAAAAAACCCATAAAAACCGATATTTAAACGGTGAATCTCACCACCATCCTTCACAATTAGCTACCGTGGGCAAATCTTTGTTACAGAGAGCACGAGGGATCTGTGACAGCAAACACCTGGCCGCCGAACTTCAGCATGTCAAGCAAGTTCTGTACGACAACAAGCTTCGGGTCCCGCGCCTACGTCACAGTGATCGAGTGAAGCCGGCCACAGTCGAGCGTGTGCCTGCTGTACTACCATATGTCAGAGGTGTCACAGACAAGATTGGCTACATCTTGAAGCGAGCTTCTATTAGAACATTCTACAAGCCGCCGAAGAAGATTAGTCGGTTCCTACCATCCGTCAAGTGTCATATTCCTCTACAAGATGCAGGAGTGTACAAGCTTGATGGTGAATGTGGTCTCTCTTATATAGGACAAACAAAAAGATCAATTAGAACTCGCGTAAAAGAACATATAGCTGATGTGAAGCATCAACGTTCCGGGAAGTCTGCAGTTTGCGATCATATCCTAGACGGCCCCAACCATTACATCAGATTTGATAGACCACAAATCCTCGCGAAAGAACACCGATTCCTACCAAGGATGATACCTGAGGCTATTGAAATTAAAAAACATCCTAATTTCAATAGAGAAGGAGACTAGGTACTACCACCTGCTTGGGATCCTATAATCAATAAAATTAAAACTAAACCCAAGCATACCACTGCAAGACCTCAGGACATAGTTCATTTTGCATAGATCGGACCATAAACAATAATTAAAAAAGCTAAAGGTACTCCGGGTTTAACAATGACATCGGGACGTCAGTCATCTCAGTCCCCCGTGACCATGGGTGCTGGAAAGCGCCCGAAACGTCGGGAATTAAAAATAAAACTAATTAAAAGTAAAATAAACGCGATAAAATCCGTAAAAGTAGTTTTAATCAACATTATATATCTTTCTGAATTTCCAATTTTATTTCCGAGCTGTTTTATGTAAGAGATGTGTTCCTTCCTTTCTTTCCTTGAATTTTTTATTTCCTTTTGAAATTAGTCATATTTGTAAGATATTGTTTCCAATGATAACTGTAGTGTACTGTTTTCCGATTTTATTACACTTAATGATGACCCTAAGGCCTGTAGTTTATTTGTTTGATCTTCATGCGACCAATGCTCACATTGATGATGCTTTCTGATTTTTGTAGGTCAAACACAATGTATATGCTATGTATGCTTTCTGAATCAGACTCTGATGCATGTGCGTTTTGTGGTGGAGTTCGTTTCAAAGGTGTTTTATTAAAATATTATTAAAGTAACAATAGGTCAATAATATATAAAATGTATACGTGGTAGAGCTACGCTGCAGCTATATTATGATTGTAGCATAAATGGATCGGCTTGACCGGGGAAGGACCACGCTCTCACAGAATACCAACGTAAAATAGCATTTTAATACTGCTGTATTTCGTATAGTAAGTGTAGAAATCCGGAGACCCTTTTTTTCTGGAAACGAAGCATTCCAACTTAGTCCTCAGGGGGGTGACAACGCATCTGCGTTTTGATTCTTAATCGAGGATAAATGTAGATGTCTATGTGCCATTAATCATCCACTTACCATCAGGTGGACTGTGTGCTTTCTAGCACCCATGGTCACGGGTGACTGAGATGACTGACGTCCCGATCTCATTGTTAAACCCGGAGTACCTTCATCTTTTTTAATTATTGTTTAAGGTCCGATCTATGCAAAATGAACTACGCGCTCACGCTCCCATCGCGGTTGTGTTCTGCAAGTTGCCTCCGTGTTAGGCATTAAAGGTCAGCCGAATGGGACAGAATGTGTTTTTTTGCATCTTACCCTTGGGGGCTTGCTTCTCGTCTGGTGATCCCAGCGTTGTTTCTCTTTCTGTCTGATGTGGTGCTACACGGAATGGAACTTTTTATTCCATCATCTGTGGTACCTATCAGAGGCAGAATCCAGCCATGAATTTGTCGCTCCTACGAAATTACATTTTGCCATAAGCAAGACTGCTCCCAGGCCTGGGTTCACGCATCGACGTCTTGGGATGCAAATACCAGCGCTCTTAAATATAAGTATAATTCTGCGATAGAAGGTGCACAGAGATGCAACATCTCTTCTCAAAGCTAGTGGATTAAGCCGATCGTAAAGAACTTGCTCGTCGACGATTCTTTTAAATAAAACTGATTTAGAGAAACGTTTAAATCCTTGCTCGTAACAAAGTTTATTTATTAAGGCAGTTAGGACTATTGAAAGTACCTATATAAACTTCCCCAAGTACTTTATTTAAAAGCGATACACGCGCTGTGATAATCACACTTAAAGAACTCTTTGCAAAACTTTTTTGTACAGTACAAACGAAATTATGGAGAGACTTATTCACTAAGCTGTAGCCACTACAGTAAACACTTACCATCAAGTAAACTGAAAATGAATTTGCTCAGCAGAGCGGGACAGTATTTTATGCCGGCACACCGCCTGCAACTTTACAAGTCGCAGGTTCGACCGCACATGCAATACTGTTCCCATCTCTGTGCTGTGATTCGCCAGCACCAGCTCCTTCCATTTGATCGCATCCAATATAGAGCTGTTCGAATCGTTAGTGACCAAGCTCTTTTCGATCGGCTTGACTTACTGGCACTGCGAAGAGATGTTGCATCTCTTTGCATATTTTATCGAATTTACCACGGGAAGTGCTCTCAGGAATTGTTCTGACTGATTTCAGCCGCACATTTCACCACCGCACATCGCGACAAAACCCGCGATACCATCTATACCGTCTGGATGACTGGCGGTCCACTACAGTGCAATATAAAAGAAGTTTTCTTTCTCGCACCACTTCCCTGTGTAATCGACTACCCCCAGAGATTTTTCTGGACTGATACGACTTAAGGACCTTCAAGAAAAAAGCCTACTACTTTTTAAAAGCCCTGCAACTAATCTGCAATTCCTCTCGTGTTGTTCATGGGTGGCGGTAATCACTTACCATCAGGTGAGCCGTATGCTCGTTTGCCCCCTATCCTATAAAAATAAATTACTTAAATTAATTATGATATTTATTATTAATACAATTAACTACAGTAATAATAAAATTCATAACATTAAATTTGTATTATTAGTATAGTACTATTTAGTTGTAGTAAATTATAAAAGGTATTGTTACGCGCTCAAGTCGACGGCACTAGCGCCATCTAGTCTCGAACTGAAGAACTAAACTTCTTGAAGTTTAAAACTCGAACTCTCGATACCTTGCGCGTGTTTACTTGAACATTCTGGATATTTCCTTGCTAATTTATATAAATAGGCGCTACAAGATGCGATCGAGGCAGTATTGGATTTGGCGAGACAAGCGAAAATTCGGAGCGGAATAAAGTGAATTAGTGTGTTTAATTATTAGTGTGAAAGTTTTAAAATTTGTGTAAAGTAAATTAAAGTGTTAATTTAGGTAATTTTATCGGCAATTTTTATTGTCACGAACCTCAAGCTCGTAACAGTATTATAGTGACTTATACATAAGCCTCCCAAAAAGTTATCAAAACAAACATTGTTTCACTTATACTCATTCCAGATTTTAAACTTTAAAAAATAATTAAAAAATAACAGATGTTCTTGTAGTAATTTTAAATATACTAAAAGAAAGCTTACAAATTGGGAATTTATTTATGAAATATTACGTCATCAAGATGTTTTCCTTGAGATGTTATCAAGATGTTATCAAACGCTTCAATAAATCGCTTGGGATAGAGTTTATCTCTTCAGTTACTTTAGCCTTCAAGTCTTCGAGATCGGCTAGCGGGTCAGTAAAAACTCTGTTTTTATGATAGCCCCATAAAAAGAAATCAGATGGGGTAAGATCGGGATCCCAGATCGGGATGATGAGTTTTCTAGGAAAAAGGGCCCTGACTGCATTCATTGAGGCTCTGGCGGTGTGCGCAGTATCCCCATCTTGTTGAAACCATACTTCTGGATATTTACTGGCACCTCGTCTTAGTTCCAGCATGAAAAAGGAGTTTATCATAGCTGTATAGCGCTCACTCATAACTGTAACAGTAGAGCCACGATGGGCTTCAAAGAAGTTTGGGCCGATAATTTCTTTTGCAAACATTGCACACTATACAGTCACTTTAGGACTATTTAACATCTTTTCGTGCTTTTAATTTGAGTTGGCAGAAGCCCAGTGCTGACAATTTTTACGGTTTACATAACCTTCCAAGTGGAAACGAGCTTCATCACTTAAATAAACGTCTTCCAAGTCAGTTTTCTCCGGGAAAATTTCTAACATTCGTTCAGCATAAGTTTCACGCTTAAAATAATTAGTAGAAGGCTTAATTTGTTGCATTATTTGGATCTTGTATGGATGCAGCTTTAGGTCTAGTGTCAATATGTGTTCAAGACTAGAGCGGCGAATATTCAACGATACTGCATGTTTTCTTATCGAACGTCTTGGCTAGGCTTCAACTGCAGCGACGACGCGGTTAATATTTTTCCCGGAACGTACAGGTCTTTTTCGGCGGCGAATTGTTTTGTTTATTGCTGAGCCCGTTAGTCGAAATCTTTCTACCCATGTTTTTATTACTCGTAATTAGACACTTGGTGCATCACGCAAATACCGAATTTTGTAATGACTACAAAACATACGTCGTGCTCGTGTGTACGAATTTACATTGCTAAAATAAGCCTCCACTACATACGCACGGTGCGCTCCCGACCACACCATGACGTCGACTAAAAATTTCCGGACCGTTAGCTTTCGAATGCTGTACTTCACCTCCCAGTAGCCCTGCTGCCAGCGAATTTATTAACGATCTAAATTTAAAAAGTTAGCTGAGTCACCCTGGTATAAAAATTCAATTTTAATCTTATTTTACACAGATAAATTCTGTAGACAATATAAAGTATGTAGGTATTGTACTTGATAAACACCTTAATTTTAAAATGCATATAAATCTCTTAACGAGTAAAGTTCGCAAACTAATATATATATTTAAAACACTACGATATGTTGCAAATTCCATAATTATACGCAACGTTTATTATGCTTTATGTCAGTCTATCATCACATATTGCATTTCTTGCTGGGGTGGTGTTGCAAAAACAATATTAAAGCCACTTGAAGTTGCGCAAAGAGCTATCTTAAAGGTTGCTACTTTCAAACCAATGTTATTTCCAACTACTCATCTATATCAAAACTGCGCTGTTCTTAGTGTGAGGCAGCTCTTTATACTGCACACAGTATTACTTCAGCATAATAAGACTCCTTTCATTGTAATTTCTAAACGGCGTAAAGACAAAGTATGCACACTTCCGCTAGCCAATTTTTCATTTGTAAAAAAGATTTTTTTATTATCTAGGTCCTTTACTTTACAACAAAATAAATGCGGAAGTAGAGATTTACGAAATGTCAACATTTAATTGTAAAACTTCTGTCCGCTCTTTCCTGCTAAATAAGTCATATGATGATACAGAGCAATACTTGTTAACATTGTTATAAAATTACGTCGCATTGTTATATATTTATTAGTAGTAGTAGTATAAGTATTACATATACATTCACTGACACACACACACACACACACACACACACACACACACACACACACACACACACACACACACACACACACACACACACACACACACACACACACACACATACACACACACACACAGAGAGAGATCATTTTTATTATGTCTCTAAAATTGTATAAATACTATTTCTATATAAAAAATTATAATAATTTTAAACAATACAACTACGTATTCCTAATAAACAGGGGGGATGGGACTGTATCTCCTAAATACAGGTTACTCAGTAACCTAGCTAGGAGACTCAGGTTTCTACCCATTTCAAATTGTAAACTATGAATGTCAATAAAGAATTATTATTATTATTATTTGGAGTATCTATATAGTTTTCTCATCTGGTTGGGTTCTATAAATATATAATTATAAATGAAAATGAAAAGATAAATATACATAAATATCAATAACATAAAATAAATATAAAAGTACATAAATAAATAAAAGCCCAACCAGATGGAGGCCCTCGGCAGGGGAGACCAAACGGCCGAGGGTTAGGGGGGAAAGGGAAATAAACCTATATTTTATTATTATTATTATTTTTCCTATTTGTAACACTTTTTAACATTAACACTGTAAGCGCCAAAACATTTAAACAATTAACAGCGTATTCAATATATCTTAAAATAGAGTGTAAGATTAAAGTTACATTAATGTTAACATTGTAAATTATTGTTTCAAAAAAATAGTCCAGGTGAGTATTTTTCTATTTCTTACCAGGACAGAGGTCTTTACATAACCGTCCAAGCCAATAGTAAACGCATTAATGAACTTCAATAAGTATTCTTGTAGTTTATAGTGTATAAAAATTATTCTATTTTATTCATGCATTTATAGTCAGTATCCTTTTTATACGAGTTTTATACATAAACACTCACGCCTGTCACCCAGAGGGATAGGCAGAGAATACAGACTTCCATTTGGCATGATCCTGACACACCTCTCTCGCCTCCTCCACATCCATATACCTACGCAAACATGCTCGTCGGTTAAAGGTACTCCTAATATGGCCCATTTGCAATATATCGCCAACTTGATCGACAAAATTTCGCCTTGGGCGTCCCTTTTTGTATCTTCCTTTCACTTCTGCAATAAAAATTTGCTTTGTCACTCTGTCCTCATTCATTCTTTCTACATGACCAAATCACTGAAGCATTTCTTTCTTAATCCTCTTCACAACATCATCTTGCAAATATGAGTATTATATTACATATAATAACATTAAAAAAATTGGAAATCCATAGAGCTGATGTTAGGAAAATAATCTGTTGTATAACCAGGTAACCAGTTTCCCTGTCTAAGAGAAAACAACACTGATTAGAAAGAACAATACAGATTACGATGATTTAACAGTGAATAGCATAACTTTCACAGAAAGTACAAGATTGGACAAGGTTAAGGAAGGCATCTTATTGACATTTCTTTCGCAACAATACAGCGTTGGAAAAGCGACTATTACAGACATCAAAAGTAATTAGGCAAAAATAAGGACATTTGTAATAAATACGTAAAGGGGTCCAGGTGCAAGAAAAGCATTAAAAACTTCCGAAAATCTTTAGCGTTCTTAGAGCAGCGAAGAAAGAACATCCATTTGACAGGTGAAACCCTAATGGAAAAGGCAAATTTTTTCCACTAAGGACTTGGAAGAGGAGCCTTCATTGCTAGCAGAGGATGGTTGGACAATTTTAGAAGAGAAGGCATGGTATACGACAGCTCAAAGTTACCAGTGAAAAATTGTCAAACAACGTAACGGCGGTGCAGCAATTCCAGGAAAAGTTCTTAGAAGTCATAAGGGAAAAGGATTTTTCTGCAGACCATATATATTGCTTATGAGTTAGGCTGGTACTGGAAATTCATACCAGACAAAACCCTAGCATCTGGATTGGAAGCTAGTGCTCCAGGTGACAAAGTATCAAAAGAGAAGATTACATTTATGACATGCACGAACGCAACCGGAACGAACAAACTGCCCTTGCCAGTTGTAGGGAAATCACAGAGGCCACATGCTTTTTCTACAGTCAAAACCACCAGTTACCAGTTCATTACACAGAAAAAAGAAATTCTCGGGTTACAAGACCAATATTTTTAGAGTGGCTGAAGAAACATTTTATTCCCGAAGTAAAGATTATTTTGTCAAAAAAGAACTTACCGCTAAAAGGACTTTTATTGCTTGATAATGCACCAGCTCATCAACTTGAAGAAGATCTGCAGTTGATTGACGAAAATTCCACTGTTATGTATATACCACCCACTTCCCCAGCCCTTATTCAACCCATGGACCAAAATGTAATTCAGAACATTAAAATAAATTACAAGAAAAAACTCCTATTGCAAGTTTTTGGCCAGCAAGATGCAGATCCAGAATGTTCAGTATCTGAAGTTCTTAAAAATCTACAGTGAAAGATGCCGTATTTTCACTTGCTTGGTGGTGGCTTCGATTGTCTCCTCATCTTATTAAAAATCCTGAAAGCCTTTATAGCCCTTGTTGTTCAAATCCGAGGATGTTTCTGGCCAAGAAGACGGAGATTTTGATCCTGAAGATGACCTACCTTCTACAGCAAATATCCTCATTTCTAAGTTCATCACACAGAGAAACCCGGGCATAGCCCTCTCCATAGCTTGCTGAGCGAATTTGAGTTTCCTCATACGGCCAGCAGTAAAGGACCACGTCTCATAATGTACAATCTCGTTTTCAGGTTTTGAGGTATACCTGACGAGAAGATGTAAAATAATTTTCGGAACGCTGCCCAGCCGAATTGAATCCGTCGATTGACCTCTCGGTCGAAGTTGGACTTGCCTAGTCGAACTATTTGTCCTAGGTATACATACTCGTCAACAGCTTTAAGCGTAGTGCTTCCAAAAACTACCGGCATAGTTGTGACATGGACGTTACACATAATATTTGTTTTGTCCATGACCTATCCGTTAGGAGGTACTATTGAGGTCATTGAGCATAGTGTTAAAGTCGTCCAGTGATTCTGCCATAAGTACTATATCGTCGGCAAATCGAAGTTGTAAATAGATAAGAGGGTGGTATATATCCAGACAGACTCCTAAGCAATAAAAGAGATTTACTTACTTCCTAGTATAAAAAGAATGAGAAATAATAACAGTTAATACGTTTATAGCTAACTATTAGGTTGTTGCTTATGTGATAGCAGCCTAATCGTTAGGCGTACAATACACGCTCATGCAGGCTGTCAGTTTTAGAACAATCAAGGTTGTGATTGATGACCGTGTAATGCAGCGATTGACGCTTGTATGAGCGCGTAATGTAGACATACAGCCTATCAGTCACCATCATTGACTTATATATTACTAGCGTAGAAATCATTGGTCACCATCCGTTTTTTATCATTCATGATTGATGAAATTGATTGACGCTTGCACAAGCTTGTAAATTACGCCATAAAGGTGCAGACCGCAAACTTGGAAAGACATTGAGTTTAAACCCGCTAATCGACTACTGTTGACTATGGAAGTACAAATTGTGCTCTACTGAAAATATTAGTGGAAAAACATATCCACGGTTATTACCTCCAAGACTATGCTCGAGTAAATGTGGCAAACACCAAACAGTGTTGTAGTCAAGAAGAATAATAAAAATAATTGTATTCTTATTTTATAGTATAGTTTCCGATTCCGTCGACCTCTTTGTTTCTTCTCAATATTATTTATACAAATTACTCTTACAACGTTTCTCACTCTCGTATAAATAAATAAAGTCAAAATTAACTATAATTAGAGAATTGTTTTTATTAGACTTTAACAAATTAATGGCGCCGAAAGCCGGGACAAAAAAGTCATTAAAATTTAACTGGGAATTATTACCACTGGCTACCCCCTTATTCATCGGCTGTAACGTCAATATATTTTTCTTTTTAATCACTACAGTATATTTTTATTGACAAACAATATAGAAATATTGAAAAGAATCCTGAAACCAGAACTATTCTAGTTCGTCTCCTTTTCATTTTCACTGTCAGCTTAAGAATTTTTATTTTCTGAGAATTTATGCTGTGCTTTATTGCCGAAGGAAATTCTTTATCTAGAAGACTAAAATTATTAACTGAATAATGTTTTGTATTATTAAAGCAAATATTTCTAGAAATGTAATATTTTCTTTTTGCGAAAACTTAAGGAGCAAGCCTATATTATTAAGCAATTTAGTTATATTGGAGATAAAAATTTATGTTATTTGTTAGATAAAAGTTCACGTTGACATTTTTGATTATTTATTCGTAGAATATTTTCAAAGCAAACCTAGTACGAGTAAGAGTTTTAAAATTATTCAATTTTTATAAATCGGAAGTGTAATGAATACGTAAAGAATCCTACCTGCCATTCTAATACGGGTTGAAGGATTTGACGTGTCTTTTTTTTATTCTCAGACATTTTCTTTGTAAATATCATTAGTTATTCAATCCCTAGGATATTCGGTTGAAGGATTCTCAAGGATCAGTCACTGTATTGTTAAGTCTCCAAGAAGTTTCCATCAGGATGATGGAAAATATCATTAAGCGCAACGTATAAAAATTAAAAAGAAAAATATATTTTGGAAAAAATAAATTGCTAAGAGTTTCTTTTGGATTATCTTACAAAGACTACTTTTACATCAAAAAATTAAGAGAAAATCTTAAGCAAAAATATTCACATCGTAGCCCGAAATCATTTTGGGCACGAAATTCGAAGAAAGATGACACTAACAATGAGTAATTGACCCGTATAAATCGTAATAATAAAACAATAGAAGTCATAGACGAGTGATCTTGTCGCCGCAATTATGTGTTGACGAACATAATTCACTATTTTGTGATTTAGTTGTGCGGGGAACGTCGTATGTGAATTTCTGTTATTATAATGGTAACTGCAGCATAGTAGTAAAAAAGCAGTAAAAACTCATGAAGGGCGTGTAATTCAACTAATAAAGGCATAAAATTTCATAGGTAAGTTTATTATTTACTAATTATCATTGTTTTAACTAATTTACATCTCGATGAATACTTTACTATGATATATACCTTTGTAAACTTTCATTTATTACTTTTTGTATTGACAATTACCATTGCTGCTTTTGTTCTACCGTAATACGCGACGTTGACAAACTCACCAACCAATGTAATGTGAAACATTTAGATATCATTGTGTATTGCGTATGATACAGCTGTAGGTAGCGACATCAATTTTGGAGGTAATCAAGCGCTAATTCATTACTATGGTCTTATTATTACTATTTCTGAGAATTTACTTTATTTTGAAATTCAAAATATCTAAACATTAAAAGATTGAAGTATTTGTATGGCCTACAGACAATTTTTTCGGATCTCGATATTTTTCCTTGTGTAATTAATGTTTGTAGACTGCCTCTACGATATAAGAGTTAAATCTTAGTAATATTTTACGAATGAAATAAATACATATCTCACAGAGGCACCGTTGTGTAATTTAACAGGATTATTCTATCTATCTTTTACATCAATCAGCTTGTATTAAAAAAGCGATCGAGCGTAACCAAGACTTCAAAGTCTTTGCCAGAAATCTGTCTAAAAGAAATAGTCAACTGCTAAAGACCGAATGTGGTACCATTGTTTCCGGTACACCCAATTGAGATTCTTACTCAGAGGGAAGCTGTACACATCATTGTTGGAGATACACGCAAGTGTGAGTAGCGAACCAAGAGCAAGTCTTAACCGACACTATTCCGATAAAATCCCGGACGTCAGTCTAAGTGAGAACAGAATGGCTCTTCATCACTATTAAAATGGAAAGATCTCGGGTGAGAATGGAGTTACAGCGGACCTTTTGAAAGTGGGTGTAAAACCAGTACTGAAGTCCTTCAGAAGCTCTTTAATTCTGTCCTCCGTGGTATAATTACTCCGGAGGCGTGGATCAGAAGTGCGTTGGTGAAAGGTTTTTCGAGAAAGGCGACTACGCTCTCTTGAAGAACTAAAGAACGATTTCCTTTCTGAGTCGCGTCTACATGCTATTTTTACGAATCGTCTCGTATACAGACGACGACTTCCAGCCTCCCGAACAAGCCGGTTTATGAAAAGACTTTAGTACTGTAGAATACATACATACTCTTTAGCAAATTGTACAGACGACCGAAACAACCTGCCACTTTGCCTGACGTATGTGAGCTATAAGAAAGCCTTTGATTTCGTTGGGGCGAATTTGTGATTTCCGAAATTTGGGCGGTTCTACAATCCCTTCAGCAATGCTAAGTAGACTGTCGGTACATCAAAGTGCTGAACAATTTTTACAGTTGAGCTACGATGGCTATCGAAGTACAGAACCAAAGTACGAAACCTATATAACTGCAGAGAGGTCTAACAAAGGGTGACGTAATATCCCCAAAATTGCCGTTCGCTGCTTGGAAGATGATTTCAAGCTACTGAACTGCAAAGAATACGGTATTAAAGTCAATGGTGAGTAAATCACTCACCTTCGATTTGTCGACAGTATCTTTTTTATGGTAGAATCTCTGTAGGACCTAAGTGCTCAATGAATTCAATAGTGCTTCCCAACGGCTAGGTCTTAAGATGAACATGGGCAAAACAAAGATCATGTTTAATGTCCATGTCACACCTATGCCCGCAGTTGTTAGGAGCACTAAGCTCGAAGTTGTTTACGAGTGCGTTTACCTGGGACAAATAGTCCGACTAGGTAAGTCCAACTTCGACCGAGAGGTCAATCGACGGATTCAACTCGGCTGGGCGGCGTTCGGGAGATTATGACACATTTTCTCGTCAGGAATACCTCAAAATCTCAAAACAATATTGTATAACCAAGCGTGTTGATACCTTTGGATCTTATATGTGGTCCTTTAGAGCTGGCCGTATGAAGAAGCTCAAGCTTGCTCAGCGAGCTATGGAGAGGGATATGCCCGGGTTTTCTCTAGGTAGGTCTCTAGATAGGCTTAAAAGCGACGATATCAGCAATATAACTTCGGGAAAGAAAGCAGGCAAAGTGTAGGGCATCCTTCCACTAGTTGGAGTAATGACCCTAGTAAAACATGCGGGAATTCGATGGCTGCAGGTGACTCAGGACAGCGCTTGGTAACATTATTTGGGGGTGGCCTATGCCCAGCAGTCGATTTATGATGATTATGATGATGATATTATGTTAATTAGTAAATTAAAATAAAAGGTCAAATATGTGCATTGGCTTTCGGTTCACTTTATGGTAAAAATCAGAAGTACCTAAGCTACGCAGTTGTCGGAATCATAGTTACCGAAAAAAAGTAACAATAGGAAGAAATTAACTAATGAAATCTTGAAAGAAATAGTGAAAAAGAAGTAGTGTGTAAAGATAGCTCCGTAGATTTTCGCCGGTTAGTTGAGCCTGCTACCGTCGAACCGCCGGCCTTTCTATTATCTTTGTAGTTTCTGCGTTTTCAG